AGAAGTTCTGTTCCTCGACCAAGCAGTCTCCTTTGACTTCAGGTACCATAACTTTCGATCCGGCGGCAACCCGTCTGATGTGCCGCCTGTATGCAAAACGGAAGTGTTTGATTCTATATACATATATATATATATATATATATATATANTCTCCACGCTGAAAATGAAACCTGATACTAAAGAACTATTCTACAGTTAGTTGTAGCACGCGCCTATTAGGTTCCTCAAGAATCGACCAAATATGTTAGAAATAATTGTGGAAGCCATACAGTTAACAATGGGTGGTGTATATGTCCTCAAAATTGTCAGCAAAACACGTACAGAGACGAAATTCATGAAACGCTGCAAATCCGGTAAGAATGAATTAGGCACAGGAAAAAAACAGCAAATTACTTTTTTTTCATACAGTCTGTGTATCAACAGCCCGTTAAACATTCACTTATTCTACAGGACGGCAAGAATGAAACTATGGAGATAAACTGTGATTTTTGAAAGAAAAAAAAGACACTTATTTTGTTTGACCATAATTCGTTATCTGTGGACATCCATGGGACGTTCGGTATAGTACCGCAGGTAAGCTCAGAACAGACTGAAATGCAACAAGAAATGGCTACGCGACACTGGTCACAACAAAATGCTTATACTACTTCGGTGAGATATTAAACTTATAACTGAGCTTTTCTATTATCATCAATCAACGTCTGCTGGCTAGTTGAGGAGCAAGTGACCCAAACGATGTCGTATTTTTCAATGTTTGGAACACTAAATGCCAACAGAGGTGGAGGAGAATTGTTCAAAAAAAAGCATTTTTCATAAAAGCCATAGTGAAAAAACTAAACAGCTCAATGCAAAGGGTGAAATTAAGCAAAACATCTTGAGCTATGATAATTACCAGTGTGCATTGTTTATCGCAGGCGAACTCACTTGGAATACAAACAGGAAGTAGACGAGCATCATCATGTAAGCGATGCGGAAAATCACGACCGGTTGTTGCAGTGAAATGAGCAACATGCTCAAACAGCACACTACTATCCAATATTTGACACAGAGCGACCGTAAGACCTCGGCTAAAAGGACACCGTAACGCAAGTGAACGGATACGACAGGTTCAGATGATGGAATCGTGGTGAATATGAATTGACTAAGAAAGCGTCGATTACTGGCACTGAAATCTCGATTTAGTTATAACTACCGGTCCGAGAGGTATTTCTAAGCATGGACGGAACCATAACACAGGAGCCGACAGTAGGGATTACGAAATAATGGTTGATAAAAAAATCATTCCCATTATTAGTAATAGTACATTACTATTATGCTGCAATGAGAAGATCTGACGATTAGCTCCCAAATTTCAGCGCAAAATGGATAATTTTGACACTTAGAGATTGATCAATAAATTGTTCCAAAAAAGCGAAACCACCGAACGAAATTATCCCAACAGAACCTTTATTAACCGTAAGTTATACTGTCCGGCAATTCGTCTAAGGATTGATACCAACAGGTTTCGCCTACCGCACCAGTAGTTTCAAAATAATCAACTGTGTATGAGAAAGAGATTAATGGTTTGGGTGGTAAGCTTCGGAGAGTCGGTCGTGAAGCAACGGGTGACAAGAAAAGCCACACAAAGTCGAACAATCAGCAAACTTGTTCGTCGGTCCCGAGTTGCAAACACAGAACGTCTGTGATAGCTACAGATAATTTCTTCTGTATCCACTGGGTCAACGAAACATAAATCGACTTTTTCATCATCGTAACAATCAGGTTGTTTGAAAACCTGAAAATAACATTCACAAAACTGTTGTCATAATTCATCTCATGATCTAGGATGTGTTCAGTTCAAAATTTCTAAATCTATCCTGAGGATGAGGAATAAAGCATAATTATACTGTAAAAGTAACGAAACTTCGAAAAATTACACAATCGCCTTTGAGCTGCGAGTCAAACATCAACATTTTATTGAGTTATTTTACGTGTTGCAATGGGATTCATCCAAGGACTATTTATTTGTTTGCTTTGTGCAGCACTTGTACACTCTTGCATTATGCTCGTTTTTGTCTCGCCGAACGCATTTGGTGGTTTTGCCAGTAAGGATGTGCAACATATATTGAATATCAACTCCCTAAAGCATGTATAAAGTACGTTTTCCAACTAGCGTATCCAGCTAGTCATTTTCGCTAATGAAGTTTATTGGACTCCGCGGAGATGAAACGGCGCCGGGTGCCGTTTCTCCAGTCGTCAAATCCGTGATGGTTTTTATATACATTGTTCATAAGCTCATCCCCCTTTGAACAGGGGAGAAGAATGCAAATTAATAAAAGGCAACATCGTCCCCGAGAGAGGGGAGCTGCTTTATGGGGTTTCGTTAAAAATCCCTCCAACTTTTAAGTATCACGATGGAACAAATCAAAGGGTGATAAAGATTTTACGTCATCCACGATTGGGGTTGTTTGCACAAAACCAAACTATTCCATGGTGTAGATTAAAATAGGTCAGATTCGTTACACAAGAGGTGAGCGTTAGCTTTTGTAACGACGACCAGTTCGCTTAGTTGCATAGTGAGTACAACCTGTGAGAAAAACATCGGTTTGTTCATTATCAACCCGTTGAGGGACATCAAGTGGAGAGGTATCATCTGATGCCACTGTTTCGGGTACAGCAAGGAAATAGACTCACTGAACTTCTGATAGGCAGTATTGTCAACCGTACCAAATGGTAAAGCGACACCAAACCAAGCAGCTACCGCTCGCCCTGAACGAGCTGGATCATTCGGTAGGTTGAACAAACCACGGAGAAATTCCTCGGATATGGAGCTGCGGAGATGAGTTACTGGCTCCCGGGGCTGATCGGCTGGTTGGCGAAATACCCTATTCCATGGGCTACGATCAGCGGCCAAAATAGATGAAGGATTGCTCGCGGTAGGTGACTGAGGACGGTTTTCTATGTAGAATGGTTCCGATGATAATCTGGCGGTCAATCTGTTTACCGAATGCTCCATGACAAACAACCGCAGTGTGAGCCAAAAGCAAATCAGATACGTGATCTGAAAGACACATGAAAACAACCGGAAGTAGTTTGGTACACGAACAAACTTGAATTAGTTCTAAATACTTCACAGTTGGGTTGTTTTTACTACACACCAATATGTGATGAATGGCAGAGGGCGCGGACCCCATAGTCACGAAGACCTGCTATTCAGCGATGGTAACCGGCAACCTAAGCCCCGGGACTTGGAGTGACTAACCACATAAGGTCCCGATAGATCAGTTCGGTGAAGTTTGCGTTTGCACAAGGAAACTTATTTGAAACAATTATGACAATGTTGTGAGAGATAAAATAACTTGATCATTCAGTCAGGTTCGGAACAATGGATCAGACAAGAGACAATTAAGAACAATCCAACTTTTTAATAATAAAAGGGGTAAAAACTCAACCAAGTCTTATTTGAGCCTCATATGATCCACCCAAATCCACACAAATGAGCTTATCTGTACTCTATTTTCATCCTGATACTGTACACAGGTTTTACCGATTACAAAAATGTGCGAGGTTAATGGCCACATAACCTGAAACTATATGATCCAGCATACCGCATCTCAGAGCTTTGGCTGCCGGTTTTTGACGCGATGGACGAATTAACATCATTATAGCAGAGCAAACTGTCTTTTCATTAAACAACCCTTACTACCTCTAATTGAACAAACGATACAATTTCAGGAAGAGGGAAGCGGTCAATCAAAGAACTGTCATACAACACAGAGAAAAGTGAAAGTCAGTTGGTGCTGATGGGATTCGAAAACACGTCCTCGAGGGTGATAACCTGATGACCTTTACCACCGGGACCACCACCACCTAAAATTTACTTTTATGAACTGAAGATGGGGTAAACCCGGTTTACATTATTACGTCGAAGCCCGTAAGAAAGATGATACAGTAATCGATAACGAGTAAAACTCAAACTTGGAACGGGAAACCACATGATGCCAGAGTATGATTGATGAACTACTGGAATAGGTTACAGCGAAGCTGCTGTAGACCATTCGCTATTGCCCAAGTGAGTAGCACGTCCTAGAAACAACTGTTCGTGTCCGGTCTCTAAGTTCTGACCACCAGATAAATATGCATCCTCAATCCATATAATCATGCACGCTAGTCCGGGTGGCCATGTTGCCTGTGCGCCTTATAGGTAGGGGTTTCGGCTTCCAACCCAAGGTTTTGTGACTCGATTGCCAGTTGGGAAAGATAGTCCTAACAAGGAGGAAACAGCTGTCCAGTACTCTTTTTCGGCTTTCGCGTAACATTATTTGAGAAATATATCAGAAGTGTAAACTAAACGAACTCCTAAGGAATGAGACAGACAAGAATTCGCATGAAATAAAAACAAATCGTCAATGACAAGTTTATACTGCATGAGGAAATAATATCGAACAAGCAAAACACACCTAGCGAGTCGACAGATAGGAGCCCAATGAAACGAAATCAGTAGAATTGGACGCATGAACTTGAGGAAAACCATAGGACAAATTGCAGTATATAATTCAAGTGACATGCCACATCTGGGAAACAAGAAACCTCGAAACCCGAGGGCGATTTGGTACATGTTTATCTCAAGCTTTGGGATAATCCACGACAAAATAAACTATTATCACCCTTGGTCGCAAGCATACATAACGATGGCCATTTTTATAAGGATATCCACTACTATTATCACGATTATCACAATCGTCCTCCTTCAAAGTACGTTTCATGCTGATGAACGAAGGTTGTTGAAAGGGAGTGATCTAGAGATGCACGGCCTTAAATTGTCATCTGCTTGTCTACAAAAGGATACATACCCAGTGAACAGAAATATTACTCAGAAACAAACAAAAAGCCCGGGTATCAACGGGTACTACCGCGATATTTGATGAAGAAGAAAAACCGTATGAATTTAAATGCGATGGAAATGTTTGTGATAACCAACAAAGAGCACTGGACAGCTGTTTCGTCCTGTTTGGGACTCGTCAGCAGTGCGTACGTTTTTTGTCCCTGTTAGGACTCGAACCGTGATCAGTCGGGTCGGGACTTCAAACCCTTACCCCTGAGCTACAAGGCCGGCGGTTATCACCTTGTGCGAATGGCTCAATCAATTTAGAGTATCAAGCTTGGATGAGCCCATTCGATGCATTTAAATGCATACAAACAGTAGGGAATTAACGATCTCCCAAGGAGTGAAACCCACACCGAGAACCACCAAGAGTACCTGGTGCCTCTGAACAATCGAATGGGCTAATCCAAGCTTGATACTGTAAAAACCGTATGACTTGTGATAACACACACGCAAAGAAGAATAAAAACGACAGGCATTTAGACATAAACTCGTATTCAGTGGAGCGGGCTTGTGTAAACAGAATGAGAAGGGGTAGAGAACATTAGGCCCCGAGATACACCAAAATTAGGTCCAATTACCTGTAAACTGAGTGCTCCAACAGCATTCTCCCATCGTTGCATTCCGAGCTCGGATAGCCGCAAACCGTCCGGGGTGACCGATTGAGGAAGCTCCTGTTTTGTCAGATTCATTCCAAACACATATTGAATAACAATGAGAACGATCGCGTACAGGACTATGAGGGGACTGGCGTACAGACAGGCCAAACGTGAGTTCGGTGTAATCCAGAGAATGCAGGCTGACAGCAGCAAAATGAACGAAAGCCAACTTCGGTAGGTGACTGACCAAGCCTGTTTTTTATGGGTTCAGGAAAATTCTCAAGTGATAACAGGGATAGACCATTATGGAAAATTGTGAACAAATACCATACCACTGTCATTATTTAAGGATATATATCATTTCAATTCTAGGTGCAAACTCATTGTGTGGTGAGAAATGATGTAAGGAGAGAGAAAGCCCTGAATCGGAGTGATGAATACATTCTTGTAACGAGATACGTAGTAGTAGTAGCACAGGAAAACGTCCCCGAGACAACTTTCCGAATAATCTTGAATGGATAGGGCGACAGCTACAACTCGGCATAAGACCTGCAGCTGATTATATAAACAACACTAGGATAACCCAATCACAGAGATAGTGATTAATCTATCGTTCTCAACGATCGAGCCAACTCAGCAGGAACATCACAAAGAAGTGAATTGCCACTTTCTGTTTGGCTAAAACTGTCGGAGGTAAGTCAATAACAGGAATTGGTCTTGCGTTTTGGAATCATTGGTATATAACGGAACGTGTGGGTGAGTTGATTTCGGATTTTATCCATACACATTTATGTTACAATTACTGCGCTGTGAATGAATGAATGAATGAATGAATGAATGAATGAATGAATGAATGAATGAATGAATGAATGCTTAGAACACGTTCCCCCACAGGCTACAAATCAAGCCAAGTGTGGTCACACTACCTATCCGGTGAATCGGGAGAACAAAATTCCTCCTGTTGTTTTTTATCGAGCGACTTAAAAGAATGAGACCAAAATCATTTAAGCTTCTCTTCCCTGTAGGCTGTGGCCGATTCGTTATGACCATCAAGACGAAGGCGATACGTGATACACCTGATCAACAGCATCTGCACAGTATGTTTTATTGGATCGGAATCATGACCATGTAGCGAGCGAGCGACATTGACTTCAACCCTTGATAATATCTGAAATAAGTCGAAATAACGTACCGATTGTTTATTAGTAAATCTCATCCCAAAGTTCTATAAGAGCTTCAAATGCGATGGAAATGTTTGCGATAAACAACAAAGAGCACTGGACAGCTGTTTCGTTCTGTTTTAAGACTCGCCAGTAATGCGTACTTTTTGTGTCCCTGTCAGGACTCGAACCGCGAACCTTTGGGTTGGGACTTCAAACCCTTACACCTGAGCTACACGGTCGACGGTCATCACCTTGTGCGAATGGCTCAATCAACTTAGATTAGCCCATTCGATTGTTCAGAGGCACCAGGCACTCTTGATGATTTTCGGTGTGTTTCACTCCTTGGGAGATCGTTCATTCCCCACGAGGTAATGCATTCAAATGCGATGGATATGTTTGTGACAACCGACAAGAGTGTCTGATGCCTTTGAACAACCGAATAGGATAATCCAGGCTTGATACTCTAAATTCTATAAAAGCTGTTTAAAAAAACACCGCTCTAATCATCGCACACACAGTAAACTAAGTAAGCAAACAAAAGCAATAAGTTGTTTGAGATACAATGTGATTACTGCATATCGTAGCATAATAACCAAATACGCTCCAGGGTGGGGTAGAAAAAAATGCATGTGGTCGAAACACCGCGTGCACAATGCTGCAAAGCGCAGTGCCGTTGAGTGAGCGGCGGATATGGCCATTGTGGATAGAGCATGCTCGACGACTTGATGGGTTCAATAATCGCTATCTCTGAAGCATGGATCGGATCGGTGAACTATAAAATGCATGGAATCCACGTTTGTGGAGTAACTACATCGAAATTTGAATAAATTATCATAGTTGAATTTAAGATGCTCAGAGACTGATGGTGAAACTTCTGTGAAGGACCTCAAGAACTGCTTTGTATTACTTTATAGTCGAAACTAGCTATTTGCAATAAAATAATTGAACTCTGCTGGATCATAATCATGAAAACCGAGCTGTTATTTCACAATAATACAAGTGGCACAAATGGTAGCAGCATTACCGCATCTTTCGAACGCAGTGATTATGCTAGGAAACTAGGACTTCAGCGAGCAAAGTGCTAGCGACAAGGAGGACAATATCCAGCGAACATCTTTCTCGACCAACTTCGTTGGACAAACAGTTACTGATAATAAGTAAGTTCGCAACTAACGTACTACCATGATACTACAAGTAGGATACAAGTGAAGAAATAAACAAATGGATAATCAGATGTGCTTCCTCACCCATTGTCCTCTGAATGTACTTACCATCATGGAGATCAATGTCAGAATGTAACTGTTTCGTATGGCCGAATAATGTAAACTGAGTAAAAGTGGACGTTCATTACGCACATTGCTGTTGTCGGTTCCGTACATGGTGGACAAGAACGGAGGAGTGAGACCAAATAGAACATCAAAATGCGGCTGAAGCCGACGGGCAATAAGACGACTGAGTTTTGATCGTGCGGTCTGTGACGTATCAACCAGACGAACAAGCTCGGTATTTGGATGCGCCCCATAAGGGCTAGTTATTTCCCGATTTCTATTGAGTTGTTCCACCTCGATTGCAGCTATTTCCGTGTGGAGGGACGTCCGTAATCCTCTGGATTCTTCATCGTGAAATGCGAATTCACTTGTTGCTGGGGCGATGTTTGTGTTGGGTCGAGTGTCGCCAACCTTTGAATTGTACGCTTCGGTGTCAACAGTTGGCATGCCACATAAAGAGCTAGCTGATGCTCTACTAGTAATTTTGACTGTACTAGTAGACTCCGATGAAGCATGGACTTCTTCCATGGAATGACACGTCACATTTTTAAGGGTGCGTGTTTCTTCGTCTTGAGTAACATTTGTCTGGCTCTGTAGAAGTAAAACGGTACGATGGAAACGAGATTTCCATGATAATGGGTATCTCAGAAATTCAACAAGCTCCAAACTAGAAAAAGAAAATGGGTGTGCTTAACATTACTCACCTACTTATTTAGTGCACTTAATAGGAAAGGTAAATCGCATGGTCACGAGGAATTAAATCTCAATCATGGTAGCTGGCTACCTGGGACCTAAAGTAGTCAACCATTTAAAGCTTGAATTGGTATAGATTCTCACATCGCATCGGAGGTAGGATGTGTGTGAATACCACCGCCGTCTAACTTTTTCATTTCATCGTACCCTCGATTGATTGTTCCCTATCTACTGAAAACTGGTCGTAAATTAGTCTGTTTAGTAAAAGATCGAAAATACGACAGGTGCAGTGCTGAGCCAAATGAGAACGAATCGTTTTAGCATCCAACTTGGGTGGTCGTAGCCGGATTCGAACATCCTAATAAGTAAATCGCGTCGAAGGGATTTATTACGGATGATTCCAGCAAGTATTACTCGGCTTTATCAGCACACACACGTATTCGGTATTTGACCAATAAACGAGAAAACTAATTATTTCAAAGGGGAAATGCATCGTGTATATACCAAATGAAGCATGAACTGAAAAGCTAGGAAGCACTGGATAGCTGTTTCGACCTGGCTGGGTCTCATCAGCAGTGCGAATCCATCGACCCAACTGGGGATCGAACCCGGGACCTCACAGGCAGAACCGCCGATGAGATCCAACCAAGTCGAAACAGCTGTCCAGTGCTTCATAGCTTTTCAGTTCACGCCTCATTTGTTATATACACGACGAATTCCCCCCACCCCACACACACCTTGAAATTAAGTCAAATCCTCTATTACTCACATGAAAACTAAATACGTAAGAATTGAAAGTTCATTTCCACAGGGATTGGGTAGAAACGCCTTATTTCTCAACTCGATGTGGTATCCTACCGGAGGGGCACTAAGGGAATATTTCGAACAGTACACCTTGATACCGTAAACTGACCAGTTCATATTAGTGCTTATCAAATAATGGGCATCAAGGTCAATTTTGAATCGTTCGTTAAAAGATGAACACTTTTGATCAATCCTAATTGGCCAGTACAGGAAACGTGAATATGTTTAGTTGGGAGAACAAACGGATGAACAATACTGCAAGTGAAAAACATATTCAATTGAGGATAATGGTTAGCTTAATGTCATGAGTGTTGTATTACCTATTGCGAAACATGGCCGGACGATACGACAGAGGGATAACCTTAAATATGGTCTAAATCGTCCGATTGTAATTCAAAGGCGAATTTATTAGCATTTGGCGAAATCCTCGTGGAAACCACAAAAACTGCGCAATGCAACCAAAAGATTTGAAATCGCCCGGGTCACCTGGTGATGCGTTAATTTATACGGTAAACTTTATACAGACGAGCATTGTACACTTCACTACGTTACGCCTTCCGATGTAATCTATTGGGAAAATTCGCTGCCAATCAACCGTAGTTTTCTTGTGCACTTGTTTTTGTATGCTAGAATTCAAAAAGCGTTTGCTTTTGATTTTAGCCAAAATGATGATAAACAAAATAGAGATAATTGGTTGTCCAATTATCAAAAGCTGGTAAGCAAATGTATACAAGTTATTCTTTGAATTCGGTGAGTAATGCTGTTTTGGGGCACCTTGTGCTTGTCAGAACCCGAACCAGGCCGGGTGAAGGGGAGGTTTATTATGGCAGAAATGTTCGGGAATTCCGAGCGGATAGATGAATGAGAGCAATAACACGGTAGGGCATTGGATAATGGATGTGAAATGTCCTGGTGGACCCAGTTAAACAAAAGTGAATAGGTTGATTGACAAGTTCAGTAACAAAAATCAACAATAATATAACGCGACTAACAATTGCTAATCTGCGGCGCAGAGTTCTGAAGTTCTGTTTCAATGAAATTGAGGGAGAACAGTAGAGCGTTAGAAGAACACACTGAAGTTTAGCTTAGGAATGAACGGCTGTGGAGCGCCAAACTGCCTCATCCAGCGTAATTGAAAGGACAATCGTCTTTTTCATTAAACACGAATGAACCTATTGGAGGGAGCAAACCACACAACCTGAAGACATTGTTAATGGAAGTGTAAGGGGAACATTAAAACCAGAACTAACTTGCTGATTCTGCATTTACGAGATTATACCGTAATTTGATGTAAGTAAAAGTTAGTGTCATAATAAATAGTGATAAAAATATAAGAAGACTTACCTCGTGCCTATTCTCATTCCAGTTCGCTGTTGGAGGTATTTGGCGAGTGGTGCTCTGTCAGCATCGGAAGGAAGATATATATATATATCAGACCGGCTTGAGGACAAGCATGGTGCGGACGCAACAAAAATGATAAAATGTAGTAAGGGGTACAGATTGATGAGAGAAAAATGGGGAGAACCTCGAACAGAAATAACGAATGAATGAATGAACAAATACTTTTTGTCAGTTTTATCGTGCAAATTTTTAAGTTTTTTGTTTGTCGATTATGGGGAATGGGGTTCCGACAAACAAACTGCACAGCAATTGCGCCACTGAGTTCTATTCTGAGCCATATCTCTCAGCGCCTCTAACCAACGGCAATCCTCATCCCTTGGGTACCAGTCTGAAAATTGAGCTGCACCAACCGAAGCCAAAGCTGAAGCCAGTTGTTTCATACTTCTACGCCAGGTTGTGGTCTGGCTGCCACGGTGCTTCTTTCGGCCTTGCCCAGCACGTGCAAAGAGAGCACGGAGATAAACGATGGGCAGGTATATGCAAAACACGACCAAGCCATTGGAAGTGGCGTAGAGTTATTACTTCTGTTAGAGAACGACTACGACGACAAATTTCTTTGTTGCACACACGATGTTCCCACCAGACACGAAGGCATCAGTGGTCAAATACAGAAATTTGACTGGCATCCTTAATGCGGAGGGGCCAGGTCTTGCAACCGCAAAGCAGAACACTACGAACCGCGGTAATGTTCACCGTTCCCTTAAGGGATAGTCGAATGTCATGACGGCGCCACAGGTATCGCTAGTTAGCAAAAGCTGCTCCAGCTTTCGCCATTCGTAATGTGATCTCTTCCTCAACACCACCTCCGGTCGTGATTAAGCCTTCGAAGTACTTAAAGCCCTTGACTACTTCTGTTTGATCATCGAAAAGGGTGAGTACAGGCACAGGCTCTTACCAGTCTTGCGAAAGCATGGGATATTCGAGAGTTATGGTTATGAGACCGCTAAAAGGCAAGTGCTCCGAAAGGTCGTGTAACCTTGAGCAGTTAAGAACAGGTTTTAGTCTTTAGGAAATTTCCAGTAAAGAATCTCAACAATACCCTGGGCTCTTAATTATAATGCGGCATTTGTTGAAACTTTCCACTGAGTTTGATAAAGTACTGTCTGGTGGTAGGTACCGAATGGAATGTCCAGGCACAAGACCATTCACATTGGTCTCACCATGGAACGGTGCATGGACGAAGAGGAAGAGGGCCCTAATGCTCAACTGATTTCCCCGTGATTTACTCTATTCTGCAAGAAAATCATTCAAATGAAACCAAACGAATTAGGAATGATATTTATGTTCCAGTATTTTATCAACTAATATGAGTCATAACAATAAGGTTGGCTTTACTGTGAGGATGAACTAATCAAACGTGTGGTCTTGATCACCCACATAAATGCGAGCAAAAAATATTAAAATTCGTTCATCAATCATGAATCTTTTTCTTCTTTACAAACACTACTGCACAGGGATTTGTTTGGCACAGCTTGAACTTAGACACATTTGAAATACAATGAACAATATATAATACACAACATAAAAATCTGATATAGACTACAGTTTTGTCTACAGCCCTTCCAAAGCTAAATTATTGCACAACATACACGGCAATCACCACCCTAAAAATAAGTCGTTTTGCCTGAAACCAAACTCTAACAATGTCAGGCACCAGAAAATCAAAAATGATGATCAAAAATAAAATGATTGGAGCTTCCAATCGATGAGTAAACTGCTCCTAGGAAAAAACGTACCACAAGCTTGTCGACTTGCACCCGTGCGTCTAACCAACGTCGAGTTTCCAAAACAAGTACGTAGTATAACAGCATTGTCAGGGGTGGAGCAATGTAGTCGACAACGCGTATGTGTTCGGGAAAAAGGAGTTCTCCGGGTTTATCACAAGATGTCTTCATGATGTAATAGAGACCTAGTAACCTGAGGCAAACGACAACGAATGAAGCAACGTATCAGGGCAGGCTTTTCCAACGAAGACGGGCTTTTTCTGCTACATGTGCTAGTAGCACGTATAACAAATTGACTCAACTTCTAGCATACATAAATCAACGAGGACGAACAGTGCCGTTTCCCAATTATCAAAGAATGACAGTCGTTTACTCACGAAGGACAACCGTGGAGTACGAAATGAACCCCACATTTTATAACCTATTTGGCAGCCATTATTTATATTTAATAAAAAAAGAATAACCTCAGTGCAACAGATTATTATACAACATTGGTAAATTTCGTTATCAGGTGTTTGACCACATTTCCGTACATCCGAGTGTGTGGTAGGACCACCACGAGACTGCACCTTGACGTGGTGATGGCTTGCGCGCCTCCATAACTATGCCAGCCACACAGGATGGTTCCTCACAGCCGCAGATTCGATCATGCCTGAAAGGTCAACGGGTAGAGGCCAGACGAAGCTCAGTCTCACAAAACCAGCTGCTTGGGCACCTACTGGCCACTCTTGTCTATCCACTCCCGCCCCTGCAGAAGTCACTCCAGCAAATAAACACAGGGAGGGGCTGTCTAACGGTCAAAAAACCCCGTTAGATGGACGTAGAAGCGGGGTACCTGGGGCTTTATCTCGACGGTGGGAGAAGCATTCGCATTTTATTGGACAGCTATCGCCCGCCCACGCCGAGCATCCCAGAGCCAATAAGGTGCTATCCCGACCACGTTCCACTTGTCTCACTGGGTGCACGAGACTAAGGGCCAATCACGAACAGTGGACCGACAATCAACGCACCAGCGAACAAGACACTGAACAGAAACTCGAAGTACTTGCGTGACAAGTCTATAAAAGTTAACACACATTGGTGCTTCGGTTACGCTCCCGCGTTGGTCTATGCCGCACTGCCTTGTGGGTCAGACTTTGAGTCAAAGGCTCCGCGAAGCATTCCCAAAGGAGAAAACCCTTTGTCGGTATGGGCAACGGCGAAGTATGTCATGACCCAAAGTCTTAGGTGCCCATTTGGAAAACCCTCTTTCTCATTCGTCTATTTCTTCCTCTCACTTCCAAATCGTACAAGATGCCTCCTGTTTGCACCACTCATGAGATTTCACTCAGTGTTCAACTAGTAAGACCAACCAACCAGAAGCTAACAGATTTTTGAAACCAAAATCTCCTTTCCATTCAGCCACATTTAAGTTCCACACACTCTATCAGATCGATCAACAAGCTGGCTTAGCTAGAACTCCTGAAACCTTCCACTCAGATTTATTGTCTCCGAAACACGCATACAAGACCCTACTTCAATTATCTCCCTGCGTTCTCCAGATCCAAACTCAACCTCGCGCTTCAGCGTTTGTGTCAGGAGACTTGGCATCCGAAGCTCGCGGTGTTGCTGGTGTCGGGATTGCGCTAAGTGTCAAGGCTGTGTTTACTTCCTGACTGGATTCCGGTTAGTGACCGACTGTGTGCTGTACGTGTTGACGGCTCGGTATGAGTCAACAGCTATGGAACAATGCATCAGTGTCTATTCGTCGGATCTGTGTATGCATCAACCAGTTGCATTTCGCCAGAGACGAAAGATGAATTCTACAAGGACCTCTCACAAATGATCTAAAGTGCTCGGTCAACGAACATCGCGATAGTCGCTGGAGACTTCAATGCTCAAGTGGGGTCCCTGGACGAATTAGGGAAGCTTTTTGGTGGTTCGCCTGCAATCCCGGATAACCGGACGGACAATAGAGAACGCCTACTCCAACTGTGCGCTGATCACAAACTGTTCCTGTCAAGCACCAGCTTCTCGAACAAGAAACGACACTGCCTTACATGGAAACCGCCAACCGCTTCACAGCGCTGGACTCAAATTGACCACATCACCATCAGCCAATGCTGGGGAGGATCCATTGAAGACTGCCGCTCCTACTGGTCAACATCTGTGGATACGAACCAAACTTTGTTACGAGCCAAATTCTCCTTACGCCTGGCAACCGCAATAAGGCCACCGAAAACGAATGTCCACATTACTGTATCGGCAATATTACAAATGGGCCTTCGAAGCGAAAATATCTGATTGCCTTTCAGCGCAACCATCAGCCAAAAGACTCAGTGAACGCTGGAAGAAAAGCAAGGAAGCGATCCAAGTGTCAACCAAAACAAAGGCGAACTCGGGACCATGATCAAAGCAAAAACGATGGACCTCCTTGACCTCAGCTGCCTTGTTGGACGCTCGCAAAGTCATTCCTTCTGATGCACAATGCGACAAAGCGCGTAAATCCCTTAAACGCCAACTTATCAAGATTCTGAGGAACGATCGCGAGAAGTGGACAAGATGTAGATATGGAGATTGCCGCGGCTATCGGTAATAGTCGAAATCTTTCTCGTTTCATTAGGAGTAAAGGCTCAAAGAAAGTAGGGGTCAAAGTGGTAATTAAGGAGTCCGACGACACTGATTCATATTCAACAATACCGTCTTGAACGATGGGCAGAACACTTTAAGGCACTTCTCAACTGATCCCCCCCCCTCGACACAAGAACTTCCTATACCTGCTTNTCAACTGGACAAATAATGCCAGTTAATATCAGTCTTTCATCTGAGATGGAGGTTACCCGGAAAATCACTTACAATAGGTAGAAGACCTCCGGCCCAGATGGACTGTTTCTATCTATTTTAAAGGATGGAGGGTTAGTCTTGGTTTTCGAGCTAATGAAACTCCTGAGAACAGCGTGAGAGAGAGAACAGGTTCCAACGGAATGGTGTGAGTCGATGATCATACCGACTTACAAGAAACGCGACAGATCCTCTGGTGAAAACCACGGAGGAATTAGTTTGATCAAAATCGTTCCTAAACTTCTCGCTGGTATTATACTCCGTCGATTGCCTGCCGCTCGTGAACGGTGTGTGCGCGAGAACCAGGCTGGTTTTAGACCTGGTCGATGTTGTACAGAGCACATCTTCACTCTTCGTCAAATTCTAGAACACACTCCTTTCGCAGACCCATCATTTCCATCTTCCTTGATCTGAAAGCGGCATTCGACTCAGTCGACCGTGCTAAACTCTGGCGATGCTTCGCTCTCATAAGTTTATTTCAACTTTACGATCTATTTAACCAACAGCCGAAATCGAAACCGAACTTACGACACTTCTTCGCCTGAGTTTACTACAGTTCGTCAAGATTGCCCTCTCTCAGTTTCTATTCAACTTCCCCATAGATTTAAATCTTGAAACAGCCCTAACCATGTGCGAATATAGCGGCATCGAATTACTTTCAGGAGGTAGACTGTCTGATCCGGATTAGGTAGACGACATTGTGCTGCTAAGTGAATATTGGTTGACCGAGTCTCGCTCTAATTGGCGAAGTAATAGAGCAAGTGGACAAGTTTTTAGTTTGGGCAGATATATCTCACCCGGTGGAAGCATCACAAACGAAGTGTCGGCATGCATGGAGATGGCTAAACTGGCATTTGCTAACTTGATACATTTGTGGCGCCGTCGCTACATCCGGCTGTCAGTGAAGGGTCGAATGTATGCTGCAGCAGTTCGGCCAGTGCTGATCTACGGTGCTGAGACTTTCTCATTAGGGAAACCGGATGAAAATAGATTGTCGGTGTTTGAACACCGCTGTTTGCATCGTATTGTACGAGTCTGGTGGGGAAACCGCATGAGCAATACTGAGGTTAGACGTAGATTTTTAGGTAACCGCGGTCATCCACTGGAACAAGTTATCCACCTCCCTGAACTACGCTGTTTCCGACGTTGCGCATGTCACTATAAAGCTGGCCACGGCACGTGAAGTTTTCCGAGGCAAGCAGCGGATGGTAAAAGGTCAAGAGCGGTCAAACTAAGACCTGGCATGAGGATATGAAAGCCTTGACCAGGAGAATTACTCACGTTGGGCTCCCTGGATGGTAACCCCGAGATCAAGATAACCAGTGGTTACAGACTCTGAGTGATATGGCTGAGTGTCGCAAACAGTGGCGCTCATGCATCTACTTAATATGCTTGAAACCTCTTTCTATTTGAATTCCTTATCTTTCCCTTGGATTTGCTCTCAACATTCCAATCTTCAATTTGCTCTTTTATCCAAATGGGCAATCAGAAGACAGCAACCAAAATCGGTGCATGAAAATGAAATGCTTATTGGTTGTACAAAATTGAAACTGAGGTCTCAAAGACCGAATGATACACTTGATCAACCTTGCGTCATAGCCCAGTGTAAAAATGGTTAAACTCCTAATCAAAGTGAAAGTGAGGTAGCAAGTGCTACCACATTCCGTTCATTGGAAAAAGCTTCTTGTGGTGATGTTGGTGATACATTTCAAATGAGGGAAAATGATGAGATGCGACAAGTTCTTAATGCAGAAAATCTTTCGGAGACATTTTTTCACCTTCCGAATATTTTCCCCAGGTGAGTCAGCTTCTTAGAACCCATGAAAATCTTGGAAATACGCACCCCTAGGAACACAATCCTTGACTTAGACTGCACTTCTATTTCTAATACAGCTAAGTATTACCTTTAAGGCAATGAGATGACATCCACAACCATTCTGATGGCCAGTCATATTAGCTAATATTACCATGTTATCCGCGGATACTTTGCCCTTTGGTCAGAGATATAGCTCGCTAAGGGAAAGCCCGTCACGCCCTGGATACCGTCGTTGATCGTCCACGACCTATTCTCAGGCTATTAATGCCCACTTATTCATGGTTAATCGCCTGAGTGACCTTACTCATGGGGACGCGGGTGGCGTACAGCTCTGATAACCTCAGACTTAGAATAGACTTCCGCCTACGATTACTTTGTAGATCAAGGATAATGCACTTGATCTTGGTTTCATGGCACCTAACTCGTCAAGCTTTTTTTATTACACGTTATGGTTCGATGAAGGGCAACATAGGCCCGAGGATCTACCGTTGACGTAGGAAGATCGGAACCCCGAACCCCGGGGCCTGGAGTAGTGAATCACATAAGGACCTGCTAGTATAGGCGTGATAATGAGCGGGGCGAAAGCGAAGATGACTACTACCAAAACTGGATGGCTGTGGCGAGATTGGAACCTTGAAGCCTAGGGCCCAAATTAAACCGCTTGAAAAGAAAACCACGTGTAGTCGACAAGATTTTCATCTTCATGTATTGGCCTCCTTGCCAATAAGTGCACTAGCTGTGCCCTTAGAACTTGCGAGATATTAAACTAAGTGTTTTCTATAATGACTAAAACCGGCTTTTCAGTCAAGCACGAGGTTAGTGAGTAGTCGTAAGCTTACTGTTTTATAGCTGGTATCTTTGAATTCCTATATTGACTTCCTACTTCCTAAATTACTACGATTATGGCAATTGTAATAAGTTAAGTTAAGTTACCTAATTTTCACATATTATCGTTAGACATAAACATCTAGAAAGAATGGTGTTTTTCCACCTGAATTCACCGGAGATCAAAGTTGCTACTTTTCGTCAGGTCTGCGTATGGTTACACTCTTGGGTAAAAACCGTCTGATTTGGAATAACGGCAGCTTGAGACCTCAGTTGCAACGGAGGGACCAATTCAACAATTTTCACAAACTGAAGGATTTTCCTTATAAGAGAAATACATGCAGCTACGGCGGCAGTAACGACTACGAGAGTATAACTCGATGGGTGAACTCTATGGAGCAAAATATTCTTCAGAAGATAGTTGAAAAGTTAAAGAGTAAGTATAGGCCCGATCGGGGACTCGCGCGAAACGTTATATCTCGCAGGTCGTTAAAAACATCCAGGAAAAATTACAAACATTGCAGTTCGTGCAAGAATTGAATGTACTAATCGGTACTCCGCATAAATAGAGAGGGCTACTTGATCGATTGTGTATTTCTATGAATATTATCGCGCTTTACACATCCTCACGGGCATCTGGTTTGTTGATGGGAGCACACTATGCATGTATCAGAAACTTGAATGAAATATTTGTGCTTACTGCGCTGTGCCCACGCCTTCCGGGTAAATGTAAACAGATTAAATCATGATCTGCTGTCCGTAAAGAAGCATTACAAAATCAACGATGAACAAGATGAACTTACCATAAGTACACTACCTGCGTAATAAAAGAAGTCTCTTGCATAACCAATTCTCCAATCCCCATCCCCTATTAACTTTTATTGGGGTTTTATTTATCGATACTAGCGGTAACGTCTTGGAGGACAGTTCTACTCTTTCATTTTTGACTTCTCACTTGATTGGTGTCCCAGCTGCAATTCTCAACATGTTTAAACTAGCTCCATTTAAAATGAGAGTCCTTATGCATTTAGGATGATTTGTTGTCCATATATGGCGATATCCAGTAGTTACATCCGAGAAAATTCAGACTGACAAGCACGAACTATGCACCAGTTAAAAAACCCATTGAATTGAAGATATTTCCCTACAAGCTGAATACTAGGATGAAAATTTATTAAATAGGCTAATCGTTCGTCACTTGTCGAAATCCATCCAGCTTACCTTGCAAGGAAATCCCCGTCTTTACAGAATGTTTGAAAGAAAGGGAATTGATACAAGTAATATAGGCAAATGTGAAGGCCGCTGTAGATTGCAAGAAATATTCTCAACGACGCAAACGGTGTGGGGTTCACTTTGCTCCGGCATGCCCAATAGGTACATATGCCAAGGAAAGATAGTAAATACACCGCTGAAGTTACCGATGGGGAAATGATCCCAGTGGCACAAATTAAAACGACTGTGAAGATGGTACAGAATGTATCCACAGCCCATGCACGCCACAATTTTCGGCGGCGGTCATCCCAATCCCGAGAAAAGTTGAGTCCCAGCTTGGAAGTGCCGTTCAGAGAACCAAGTCGATTATATGATTCAGGAGTNAGTGTCCGGTTTAGTGACTGAATCACTATTCGACGTATTGGCTTCTATCTGATTTACAGAGTTTCCGGCGAGGGGTCTTGTATTTTCTGCAATGCTTGAAGTTGTAACAAATGGATGTCGACTTCGCCGACTGAAGTAAACCAATGCGATTACTGAGACTCCAAGGATGAATATGTCGGGTAACACAAGTCTCATCGCCCGATAAGCCAAGACGCCATTTAACCTGATGGTTGACGGATGAAATAAATGTTTATGGTTGATATAACCTACCGCTGGACCCCAATTTGAGCTGCAATTGTCACTTCCTCACCTGAGAAAAAATATAACATCAAAATCACTGACTTACAGGTTTTCAAAGCATTGTCATACGGAGGCGCCACAGCCAGAACAATATGCAATGTCGGATGCGACAGGGTGAAAATGCAACTCAGTGTGATAAGTATAATTAAAAATGATTGTATTTTCTCTATAAAAATTATCCACAATTACACCGGACCTACGGGTAGCGCTGAGGGCAGTCGGTTGTGGAAGCAAAGGACAAGCAAGAAGGAACAGCAAATATATAAAAGAGAACGCATTATAGCGAACGCCAGCAACTGAAACAAAATGTTTCGATAAAATGTAAATGTACCTGAGAACAGAGATAAAGGTAACACAAGTCTCAAAAGGATTGTATCAAGCCTGNCTGAGCATTGTTGCGACGACCCGCGGCTACACCAGACATTCAAGGAGCGCAACGCATTATTCTGTAGTACGCGCCCACTGCGATTTTGAAGTTCAGTTCAGTTCAATGTCCAATGTCCAGTTTACAGGTGGAGAAAGCTCGTTGGCTTGTAGTATTGCCTGTTTCTTGATCTATACGGTAAAGTCTGATGTTCGGAAATTTCTGTTTTTAATTCGTTTGTTCTTGTAATCTGAAAGTGTAAGCAAAAAGAAAAGAAAAGAAACAGGTTAGTAGGGTGCTTCTTGTCGGTGTAGCAGGTTAGTTACCTGTTGTCAGTTATTTAAACCGAATTGCGAGCCTTACGAGGTGTACTGCGTGGACAGTCCAGAGATCCACCTGAGATTACTTCGAGGGTA